TCTATCTCCAAAGTTTCACATCATCAGCAAAAAGTAATGTCAGAGGACAACTGTTGTGGGAGATGGTTTATATAAGTTAAGAAAGGAAGAGATCCTAGCACTGAACCCTAGGGGACCTCACTGGCACATTCCATTGTCTGCAAGTGAAGTTAACCCTGACCTTAAAATGTTTATGTTTTAGATATGAAGTGAGCCAATCAATTAGAAGTGATTTGATACCCAATCGTTTGGGCTTATTGACAAGACATATATAATTGACACTATCAAAAGTTTTTGAGAAGTTAAGGTAAATGACATCAACCTTTCCGTTGCTACCAAGGATGGTTATCCATCTGTCCACCTCAGTTGGCAGGTTGGTTATGCTAGAATGACCCTTCCTGAAACCATACTGTCGGGGTGAAAAGAAGTTAAACGACAATAAATAGTAGTGTGTACCGTCGTTTATCAGGGACTTCGTAATTTTCGAAGAGAAGAGTCACCGATTGGTAGCTTGAAGATTCGCTGCGTCGGCCTCTTTTGAAAATTGGTGTGATGTGAGCCTGCTTCCAAATTTCCGATAGTGTGCCTTGGCTTAACCAGTGTAAGAACATCACGCTAGGCGGTGTTGTCAGGACTGAAGCTGCTTCCCTCAGTATAGCAGAATGAACCATATGCGGACCAGGAGAAGCGTTTTTTAGATGCTGCAGTTTCTGGTACATCATGCCAGTGCTCAGGTTCACTTCGGAAAGTCCTGCGTAGTTGCAGATGAAGCTTTCGTCAATATAGTTAACATAAGTTGATCGAATTGTCCGAGATTGCTGTTCAGACAGAAAGTTAGCGGCGTCATTGTCGTTATGGGTCGGGCCATTAGGACCTAGCAGTTAGGAAACCCCAGTTTTGGCTTGTCGAAGAGAGGCTACATTACGGAATAAGCTTTTCTGGTTAGAGACAAATTTATCGATAAGCTTTATGTGTTACTGAATCCTGTCTTCTCTTATTGCTGTCGTGCATATCTTCCTTATATGTTTGCATTGCCTGTAGGCGCTTTTGTTACCAGTTCGTCTGTATTCCGCCAAAAAGTGCCTTCTGCGGATTAGCAAACGAAGAGTGCGGTTCTTGATGAGTGTAGGTTGCTTTTAGATTTTGGGGACCATTTGAGGAACCAACTGCTTTTTATCACATAAGATCCTGTTCCGTAAGAAATTCCAACGGGCATCCACATCAAGTTGAGGGTGAACATCCTAATCCACCTGTTGTAGATAGTCCTGTAGAGCTGAGACCTTCAACCATTTGAAATTCCAGAGCCTGTTTTTGGTGAAATATCTTAGCTCAGTTTTGTTGATAAAACTGAAAGCTACAACGGCGTGATCGCTTCTCCCCAGGGGAGCCAGAATTGAGAGGTTGTTGATTAAAGATTCTTCTTTTGTGAATACACGGTCCAAGCGCGTCGGCGTCTGACTGTTTCTCCAACGAGTTGCCGACTTCACACTTTCGAATAATCCCAGATCCTCATTGAGGTTGAAGAACCAAGCTTCAGTAGAGTTTACACCTCCAATATACTCATTTTCCGCAGAACTGACCTTAGGATGATTGAAGTCCCCTAGAATCAGGATATGAGTGAATCCGAGATGAGTAGAGCGGGATAGTCCTTCCAGCAAACGATTGTCGTACTCGATATCAGCAATGGGCTTCCTGTAGATAACCCCAACCAGACACCTCAAGGTGATAGACAATCTAACTGAGCACCATACGGATTTATTAAGATTGATAAACTCTTGGTTGTTCACTTGATGTATCTCCAGGCAGGATCGTAAGTATAAGGCTCCCCTAAATTCCTGTTTTTCTGTCATTTCGAAATAGAGACATCCCGAGTATTGCAAGCTCTTAGTCCGTAAATTGAGAAGATATTTATGTTTCAGATATCCCTATCAAATGAGCATTATTAGCGTAACCAAAAAAAACGATGAAAACCCCTCCACAGCCTTTTTTGTTGGACAGTATTTTTATTTATTTGTTTCTTCTCCCTGTCATATATTTTAACCTTTGTTCAGATCTCGTTTGAGCTTTTACTACGTGATTTTGATCAAAGACTTATCTTTTTGTTACCTAATTTTTTATTGCACGTTGCCGGGCTATTGTCAGTGAGGTCGTGTTTGACTAAGCTCAAGGTCACGGCGTGATTCAGTGTGACTGTTAACCTTTTAACTGTCAGCTTGGGAGGATTTCTGAAATCCCTACAGATGGATATATGATCCCGTTTGTTGGGAATATATTTGTTGATTCTCAGCGCGTAAAATCGCGTTAGAGAAACTTCTGACTGTATAGCACAGGCTGTACTGTTTAAGGTATTTTGTATTTTTGATATAACTCGTTCTATTTCTTAAATTAGAAACGTATAAATTGGGCACAGAGTATGTGTTTTGAAATAATTTATTACGAGTGTCTCAAAACGCTTAGTGGTCTATACAGAAGGGCGTAGTCTGGCCTATTGGAATACGTTTTGGTTCGTCAGTGCTGAGTTCAAACCGAATACTGGGCTCCCATATTTTGAACTTTCATTGTCTCTGACAGTTACGTACATTTTGAACTTTCGGTTCGTGTTTTGTTCACATTGTATTAATTTTCATTTCATTTTCTCGTTACCATTTCATATCAAAGGCTGACATGAAAAATCTAATCGAATTAAAAACTGAAGCTAATGAGCTTTTTAAAAAAGGGCTATACCGAGAAGCTATTGGCTTATATGACGAATGCCTTGGTCTATGTGGCGTTGATAAAAGTATGAAGTTGGTGTTACAACGCAATAAAGCCCAATGCTTTTTAAATTTGAGAAACTTCAGTGACGCCCTGACGGCTGCTCTGGAAGGTTTGTTTTCTTTCAACTAGTTAGCTAATTACATTTAGCTCTCAGTATCTCTCCTGGTGATCTATACAGAAGGGCGTAGTCTGGCCTATTGGAATACGTTTTGGTTCGTCAGTCCTGAGTTCAAACCGAATACTGGTAGTTCGGTCGTTACAATTAGCATTTCTGATTTTATGGAAAAACCCGAACCTGTGGGTATGATGGTGATTTCTCCAATCAGTGGAACTTCTGTGAAAAACTCCGATATGTGTGTTATGCATTTACGTGGACAAGAATTTATTATTAACTTCAATGTTTGAGTACTTAAAAGCATAATTACAGAAAGTGATTTTTTATCATATGATAATCAAGTCTTTTATTCATTCCAGTATAAATGTTTCGGCTTTGTTCGAGTAAACCATAAATGCAAGAGATAAACAGGCATTTGTAAATCATGTCTGTCAAAGTAGCGTGTACCTGACCTTGTAGTAATATATTATTATCATTTGTTTCACGTCATTTTTTCGAAAACTCAATCTTCACGCATGTGAATTGTTATTATCGTCATAAACTTTGATTACTTCACCAGTCCAACCTAGCTATAGCTAACTGTTTCTTTTAGACTAATAATGTTAAAGACAATAGAGGATATAAGGGACGGGCGGAAGCCAACAGACTGCCAAACTTGATGGGCTACCACCGGTAGACACTTTCCAGATAGTTGAAGAAGTTAATAAATAGAGTTGTGAAGAACTAAAACTTGATAGTTACCAAAGTACGAACCTGCAGTATTAAACATCCAAACGATTTAGGCGGCGTTGTAGTTTTACAAATGCGCATTGATTCCTGCGATTGCCTGGTGTAGTTACAGTCATTGTGCACTTACAGCATCCACCAGTATTGTTTCGTTTTTTTTAATAAATCACATTTAGAAAGTACGAGTACGGAGATATCGCCACATATGAATCTGTTAATGAAAGAAAAGCTTGATAGGATTGTCATTGGTATGGTGAAGGTGAATTCACTGCTCGAAAGACAAATGAAATCTTCAGCCATTTTCGGACGTTTATTACCAAACTCTCGACGTCCAACAGAAGTGCTCTGTGTAGTCACCACAATAAGGAACTCGGATTTCTATACACAGGAGTGCACTACCACATTGGATTGAAATCGAATTCACTGAGGATTTTATATATTTGGCTTCGCAAGACCAATTTCGACGAACTCAAATTATAACTCACCTAATAGGGCCTGTTGGTGTCCAAAAGTATCAAACAACGGTTGTAGCCTATCCTAGGTCGTCTTGTAGCTCCGTATTCCAGTGGCATATTATTGGCCGGTGTCTATGGTGGATAAATAAAACCATCTAATTTCAACGAGCTGAATGCACAGAAGCAAACAAGCAAATTAAGAGGAGCATTAGAGCCGGAAAGCAGAAGAAAGCTAGAAACAACAGCGGAAACATTTGAGAGAGAAGGAAATACGAAACAACTATACGACACGATGAAGAAACTATGAGGGAAATATAGTTATGACCTAATGAACGATTTTTTCTTAATTTTTATTGTCATTATTTATTTTATTCTATTTTATTTTCACATCCGTTATTTGGAAGGGATAGAAGGTTACGAATTTATTCTGGGGTAATATGTACGGACTCCTATGGCTTCAGCTATGTGTAGGAGGCGGGACGAACTCCGTTGGGAGATGATGGAGCTATACGATAGGTCAATCGAAATGCTTCCGATCAATAAGATGTGCCAAGACAGAACCGCGTATTGTTTTTATCTGGCCCTTTATAAACCAAGACGGTAGACGTTCACTCCATGGACAGTTGTAACTCAACAAACGATTTATTTCTAATTTTTATTAGTATTATTTATTTATTTTATTCTATTTTTGTTATCATTAACCTTATTTTCACATCCACTATTTGTTTGTAATTTTCCGCCTCTTTACGTTTGTATTCTTCACTACCAATTATTCACTTACTTACTTATTTACGCCTGTTACTCCCAATGGAGCATAGACCGCCGACCAGCATTCTCCAACCCACTCTGTTCTGGGCATTCTTTTCTAGTTCCATCCATTTCTTGTTCATTTTCCCCATGCCTATCTCCAGTTCTCGGCGTGATGTGTTCTTTCATCTTCTTCTCCTCCTTCGACCTTGAGGCATTTTGACCAGACGTCCTTCTTTCCAGTCTGTTGGTATCTATTCCTCATCCCACATCTTTCTGAAGAGAATGTGGCGTATCCTTGCAGTCACCACTACGTCTGCTTTCAGTGCCTCTGATGGAATTTTGTCTGGTCATGCTGCTTTGCCGCTCTTGATTTGCCTGAAGGCCTTGATGATCTCATCAATTGTTGGTGGGCCAACATCGATTGAGAGGTCTGTGGGTGCTGCTTCAATGTTGTGTGGGTTCTGTGGGGCTGGTCAATTCAACAGTTCTTTGAAGTGTTCCACCCACCTGTTTTGCTGTTCTTCAATGTTGGTGATTAACTTGCCCTCCCTGCTTTTCGCTGGTCGTTCTGGTTTATGATAACTTCCAGAGAGCTTCTTTGTTGTGCCATACAATTGTCCCATGCTTCCTTCTCTTGCAGCCTTTTCCACCGTCATTTCTAAATCTTCCACATATTTACATTTGTCAGTTCTGATGCTCCTCTTCATTTGCTTGTTTACTTCTGTGTATTCAGCCTGTGCCTCAGTGTTTTCTGCTCTTGTTTGGCTGGCATTGATTGCTTCTTCTTGCTCCTCCATTCTTGAATCTTATCCGGTGTATCAACAGTGATCCAATCCTTGTGATGGTGCTTCTTATGACCGAGAACCTCATGACATGTTGAAGTGATTGCCTCTTTTATCTCTTTCCAGTTGCTCTCCATAGTAGTTCCTTCGCCATTGAGTAGATCATGAAAGGCCTGGAACTTATTGCTGAGGGCTATCTTGAATTTGTTGAGTTTGTCAGTATCCCGAAGAAGAGCCGTATTAAACTTTTGTGATATTGTCCGCCCCGTTGTCCAGTGCTTCTTGAGTTTCAATTTCATCTTGGCGACCAGCAATTGATGATCTGATGCTATATCAGCTCCTCTTTTGGTTCTCATGTCCTCCATCGTCCTCCTGAACTTTTTGTTAATGCAGATAAGGTCGATTTGATTTTGCGTAGTGTGATCCGGTGAAGTCCACGTGGTTTCGTGTATGCGTTCGTGTGGGAATATAGTGCCGCCTATGACCACTTTATTGAAGGCACATAGGTTCGCAAATCTCTCACCACTTTTGTTCCTTCCTCCCAGTCCATGTCGTCCCATGAAATCTTCATATCCGGTGTTGTCAATCCTAACCTTGACATTTAGGTCTCCCATTTGGATGGTTAAGTCCTTTGTTGGACACTTCTCGACGATTGACTGCAGCCTATCGTAGAATCGATCTTTAACGTCTTCATTGTAGTGGTTGGTAGGCGCATAGCATTGAATGACATTCATTGTAATGCCCTATTTCTTTGCTTTGAAGGGGGGTTTTGATGATCCTTGGTCCATGAGATTCCCATCCTATAAGTGCATTTTGTGCCCGTTTGGACAGCACTCCCTGTGTATGTGGAGCATTTTCTTCTTCATGGCCGGAGTATAACAAAAGCTCCCTTGAAGCTAGTCGTTGTTTTCCAACCTGCGTCCAGTTTGTTTCACTGTTTCCAAGCACCTGCAGGTTGTATCTCTTCATTTCTGCAGCAATTCGGAAAACTATCCCAGTCTCCCACATTGTACGAGCATCCCATATACCTAAATTAGTGTTTTCTCTGGTTGTCAGAAGGGTCATCGGCCTCGTGACTTCCGAAGGAACTCGGCTTTCATCACGAGGCATCATAACTCTTCTAAATGGTTTGAATTATTTTTTCTGGTTAGCGTAGTTAGTTTTCTACGGGATGGTGTCGCCAGCCCCATGCCCAACCCTCCCACTTTATCCGGGTTTGAGATCTGCAGTAGCCCAGGAGGGAATCCAGGCGGAGTTAACATTATATGTATTATCCTTTAATTTGTATTTCGATACTAAATCTCACTCACTGTCTGGAGTTGCTTTTCCATTTAAGTAAGTCTTTTATAGTTTTTGGTAAGTATTTTTGCCTAAAAAACTGTCTCATATATTGGGGTTACAAACCATCATATTAATTCTAAATGTTGTTATTCCTCTTCAAAAGTACATACCGCTACACTCTCCAATTTTGATTTATGCCAGCTTTCTATTTATAGATGTACCCCCATTTTTATCATTTGATACTGAATATCAACAGTCCTAGATTGCTTCATTTAATAGGTTATACGAGTTGTATATCGTGGAATCCGTCACAGAAGTTGATTTTCTGGTATCAGCCTTAGACTCTGTGGTATCTACCCCTTCGTACCCTATCATATCATCACAGAACCGGCTCAATAGAAGGGATATTCTATCGATTCCAAGAACGTACACAAACCTTCACCAGAATTTCTTCGCTACTCGCTATTAAAGCATGTAGAACAGACGCCAAGTGAACCACCGTTGATGTGGAACTATAACCCTGTTCAAAAGTCTGCTTGATGAATTTGCTTTCAAAAGTGTATTTTGTCACCTAATAAATAATAGTGTGACTGAAGAATTATGGTCTACTTCGATATTAGTACTGCTCTAATAATAGGCCTAATCCTAAAATTGTAGATTTGTCATGATGTAACTGTCTAATCTATAAGATCTTTCGTGGAAGTCACATCGTTGCCTACCCTGACTTATCGTATTGTGGCAATCATCAATATACGATGATGAACACACTTAGGCTGGAGATAGAACAATATATTTCGCATGGATAAAAACTATTTTACATAAGTATGACCACGCTAGCAAGACTGAGCCATGCCATCTGATGAATTTGAACTCATTGAATTCATTATTCTTGCCTCCTCCATCGTTGGGTTTTTATCCGCATTAAATGTTGAACATCTGCTTTTTCAGTCGTCTCATGTTCAGCCTTGAGGATTATGGTTAGGATCCGATGCCACTACATGATTACCAATGATCTGTACAAACACAGTCCGATATCTGTCTTGTTGACTGTAGAACAAGGTAGAACCTCTGGAAATTTGTATGCTTGTACGTTAACTTAATTTTTTTTTTCTTTCACCCTAATATTTGAAGTTTGCTCAAGTTCGTACCGATAATAGTTGTTATTAATATCATGATTGATCCTCTGACACATTAGATATTCTTTGCTCCCTCTATTTTTCGTGCCTCACCCATTTCCTTCTACACATATTTTAAACTTAAACATCCAAAGTTTATAATTCGAATTACATTATTTCATGTTAAACCCAAATAAACTGACTTTTCAGGTTCATTTCACTTTCACAACACATATATGACCCATACAAATTGACGTGACGATTATTCGCTGCAGGTAATTAAGGCTTTCACTGTATCATTCTAAACTATTACTGTCCAAACCCTTATTCTACCTTCAAACCTTACAGTAATAACGATTTATTTATTTTTTGGATCATTTTGTAATCCATTAGTTACCGCTTATTCTTAATCTGTTTCACAAACGCACTTGTTATATTAACACATATTTCGCGCTTCTTTCGGTCATCTTTTCCCATTTTTCCCTTTAAGTCAACTCAATATTTTTCTAACTTCTGAAGAACCTACTTAAATATGGCGGATGTTATGCAAAAATCATCTGAACTTATGTAGAACTGCATTTTCGAAGAAACCCAAAATAGTTTTCTTCCAATACCAATGTACTAATAAGCTGCGTGTGAATAATAACAATAATATACAAATTCCCAGATGTAATTAAAAATACACCTGATAAGTTTAACATTTATCAAAAATGTTATAGGCTTAATGATGATGTGTTTATATTTCCCGTGTTATTTAGTCATTTGTACACTGTTGGAAAAGATCTAAAACTACTGCTTGAAGCCTACATGTATGAATGATTGATATCAAGTGCGTTAAACTTCAGAGATACTAGATTTTTGACGCTTTTTTGCTGAAGATTAACGGTTCTGTAATACAGAAGAATGAGAAAGAAAATCATCTGCGAAAAACTGGCTCATCGCTAAGATATTGGATACTGAAGATGCCATAGGTATTCGGAGTTTGACAACGCTTTAACCAGTAACACCTTCTAATATGACGCGCACCCACCAAGTGAAATCAAAAGATAGAAGCGAGGAGATTGAAGATATATTTGATAAGCTATCAATATATCGAGGATCGTTTGCACTAATCTGGCTAGCGATTGCGGCAGATGTTGAGCACGGTGTCCCCACACGTAATGTGGAGCGGATGCTTGACGGAGCGCCTTCAGCTAGATGACCCCATTAAAACTAATGTGGTCAGCATCCAATATCGGAAACGTACAGAACTATTTATTTTGGAGATTTATTTACTGATACAGATCACTCCTTCCCTAGTGGGATAGTGATGACCCTTAGACGTGGTTCATCATAGAAAGTGCATCAGAAAGGGAGAGATGGTTGGCAGCCCCCTGCGTATGGTTGGACAGGGCATCTGATGCCCACTCTCCTGAGGCATGAAACATCCGCTACTTAAGGATGGCCTGTAAAATGAAACGGCTTGGGACGCATTCCGAAATTTATGCTTAAAAGTTACCACATCTCACATTCCTTGGACTATACCAAGGCAACTGAGAATCTCCTCACCATGGTTGGTAGGGAGGTCCGCATCCTTCTCCGTAAGAGAAGAAAATTGTAGGATAGATTTAGGTTACTGGGGACTGATGAGACAAAATCTCAGTATCGAAAAGCTCGGGATCCCTGTGCCTCGACCCTCCGTAAGTCTAGAAAGCTCTACGAAGAAAAAATTGTTAGGGAATCCATAGAATGTCCTAAACGCTTGTATTCCTATATAAACGAAGGGACAAAAAATAAGAGGAAATATTCCTGCACTATGGGGAGACAGTACTGCCGAATCATTAGTGGTAGATGACTTTGGTAAGGCTCAAGTGTTTTGAAACTACTTTAGCAATGTATATACCATAGAAGCACTCTTCCCGTCAGCGCATACTAACCCCTCCACATACACTGGATGGCATGAACATTAAAGAACTCGATGTCTTTGGTCTGCTAAATAAGCTTGACATAGGTAAATCCATGGGGCCCAATGAATTGCATCCTAGGCTACTAAAGGAATTATCTAACTTCGTTCCATATAGCTACGAAAATTGTTGCTCTGGTTGTCAGAAGGGTCATCAGCCTCGTGCCTTCTGAAGGACCCTGGCTTCCATCATGAGACGTCATAACTCTGCTAAACGGAGACCTTCTGATTCTCAGGGCAGAGTTTAAACGTTTTGAGCAATTTTTCTGGTCAGAGTTTCTTAGCGAGTTAGTTTTCTACAGGATGGGGTCGCTAACCACATGCACAATCCGCCTCCTTTACCCGGGCTTGGGACCGGCAGTAGCCCCCGAATGGACTCCAGGCGGAGTTGTCAATTATGTAAACACTTCTTATTACGTAATCATTTTAATGTTTTGTGATAACTATTTCAAGTCTATTTACCCATGTTTGACCTTCCGTTTCTAACGTTTAACTATTGATTAGACTTCTGTCATGTTATTTTATTATTCTTACTACTATCAGTACACCTGTCTTCCTACTTGTACTTTTACCCATTATGTATGGTGATTTATTCTATTTCATTGTGATTATTGACCTAAATTGCCTTGGTTGGTCTAACATTTTCGTATAAATATTCATGTTTATAAAGCAAAGCCTGATGATGTTTTAATTGAAAACAATTTTTTGCTTATATGTGTTATTCTAA